CCCCGCCCACACGTGGTGTCATTTGAGGTAAATGTTGAAGATTCAACTAAAATAGAAATAAATACACAAATAAACAAACAAATAAAACTGAAAGAAACAATAAGCACACGTTTTCGTCACTCTTTTGTTTTTTGTTGTTGTTGTTTTTAGACTTTATTTACAAGATGTTTGGGGGATCTCGTAACAGTTTACGAATGTGTACATGCTTCATTTATTTTTTTCCCTCCATGTCCCCTAGAGACATCTTAACAGTAACGTGAATAACGAATGTGGTGTGTCATTCAGTTCACAAGCACTTCAAGATTTGAACTGGTTCGATCAGTGTGTTGCTTGACTGTGTTGACAGAAAACACAACCAACTGAGCCATAAAGGCTCATATGAAAAACAAGAAACAGATTTATCTTCATGACGGAAATAAAACTGCGTGAGTAGGCCTACAGGTGGAATGGCTCGTTCATCTGCAGCCAAAATATAGTAAGTACTGATTCAGAAACAGTTGTAAAAATAATTTTAAAGTGTTTTAATGTCAAATTTTACGACATTTTCAATTGACTTTTAATTTGTACCTTTTACGCCATAAAACCCCCACAACATTTCCTCTTGTTGTTATTTGAGTAATTCTCTGCATGCTGTCTTTGCTCAAACTTTGTATTATCAACAAGTAGCATGTTGGTTTCTGCATTATTTAAAAAACACATGTACATAATATAATAATGTAAATGTATGTGGCTAATACACATTTATCATGGCTGTTAGGCACGAGCAGGGGTGAAAGTAGTCCGGTACGGTCCGGTACTCTGTACCAGTAAAAGATTCAGTGTCGGTACCCATGCAGCTTGCCAAAACCCAAATAGACTACAACAACCCGTTCATGGTCGCATTCCAACAAGAAAACACATCTGCAAAAGATTTACATAAAGTTAGTTACCTCCGCCAAGAAGGTTGTGTTTTCGGTTCTGTGTGTCTGTTTATTTGTAAATTACACGCATTACAATATGTTTTACTTTCATTAAAAATTGCGAGGTTCAAATTCTTAGTAATAATCGGAAAAATCTGTTCCCCATAATATTTACGTGAACGCCCCCTTAAGTGGAAACAAGAGATCAAAATCAGCTAACGTGTCGGTTCAAGCAGTAAGAGTACAACACACCTTCTTTGTAGCAGCCATGTCGTTTCTACATTACAACTTAAAGTTCATGAGCACAGTATGCACGTGAATGTACCACTGTCAGCGCATTGTGAGTGGCGAGTGTCATTCGAGTCTGTTCAGTAATTGCTTCTTAATTGTTCCAGTGTGTGTTTGTGCCGAGCACAGACATGCAGTGTGTAATCCGTGCTTGCTGTCTTTTTTTAGTCTGATATCGAGTGCTGTGGGTTCTGGGCAGGCAGTAGTTTGTTGCAAAGAATCTCCCAAGTGAAACAGACGAAATGAGTTTTGTTATTCCAACAACACAGACAGCAAGTCAAACAAGCTATTCAATTTATGTATCTCTGCTGGCACAACTGTGTGAATCACTCCTTCCTTTACACACAGAGTGTATGTTAGCTGTTCAAGTTCTGTCGATGAATTTAGTTGTAACTTTCTTCTAATTTAAAACAAAACAAATTCTTTAAGATTTTTGAAGTCTTGTCAATATTCTCAGATTATTCTGTGGCAATTACATCATTTAACCCTCATCCCTGCTACATAAAACACATGCTACACATCACACACCACGGTCTGAATAAACAGAATAAACTACTGTAAGAAACAGCAAATTGTGAATATATTCCTCCACAAAACAACAACATAGTAAAGAAACACTGGTAAAAAAAACATCTTCTGCGGTTACTGGGAACCCCAGTTTGTAGGATGAGGGTTGAATAATTATTTGAAACACATTATATTGGCGTTAATAGATTTGAATGCATGTGTTCAGGGATGATTGAAGCTGGGGGTGGGAGGAGGACAACATGAAATGATGGTTTGAGCAGTATCGGCAAGAACTTAAAAACTTCCTGCACCCTTGGACATGAGGGCCAGTAAAATATAACAATTACAGAAAATAGTACTTGTCATCAAAGTGCAGGTATAGTAGTATTATATTAGAGATTTCAGATTCATTGCTTTTATAAAGATTTTTTATTCTTTCTGTATATTTATGTATATTATTTGGTCTCTTTTCAGCTTTGTTTTAGGTCCGTCCTTCCCTGTGCATGCCATGCGGTTATTTTACGGTCGACACGCCCTTCCAGTTAAGGTTGCAGCTTTCTGCTTGCTAGTCGTACTTTTCATTAAATACTACATCAACAACAACACACCATTTCCACAACCACCACACCCACCTGTGACAGGTGTGGTTCAACTCAGAGGATCCACCCTCAGACCTGTCGACTCGTTGCCAGGTTTTACTTGTCAACCTGGCTTTTACACTGAAGAGGAGCTCGGGCCTCACCCTCAGAGGCCTCCCCAAGATCCCAGGGCACCAGGTGCTCGTGGCAAACCGTTTGGGATACGTCCACTGACTCCTGAGGAATGTATAGAGAAATTAGATGGGTTTGCTAAGAACCAGTTCAACCAGTTTGCCAGTGATCGGATCTCCCTGCACCGTGATCTGGGTGAAGACACACGCCATCCAGAGTGAGCGTACCCATTGTTCATTATCTCAGCAGAAGGTCACTGACGCTGACTTATGATTCTGCCCTTCAAAAGTTTGGAATCACCTGCGATGTTGATGTTTTTCTTCTTTCCTTTTTCCTTCCCCAAACGAAGAATAATTAAGTGATTAAAACTTCTACTTAGTCGTTGACCCTGCAGTGTGTCATGACAGGTGAGAATACTGTTGGAACCATTTTATTTCTCCAGTCCAGAAAAGTGCAAGTGACTCTCTATCATTATTAAATCACAAGGCTCTGGATAGTTTGGGAAGATGTTTTTTCCCATCGGGCCCTACTCGGTCTACTCCATGCATATTCATTTTATATTCCCTAATCCAATTTCAATAGTGCTAACCCTAGAATATTGTGAAGAATAACTTTGCTAAAGCAACACGCCTGTTAATTACAGCTTGTTATGGCCATTAATGTGCACTTGACAAATCTGACATCTGTTAACTTCAGTTTGGCTCTGACAGATGCTTGGAACAGAGGTTTCAGCGTTGTCCTGGCCTCCCGACCACCAGCGTGGTCATCGTGTTTCACAATGAGGCCTGGTCCACCCTGCTGAGGACGGTCTACAGCGTCTTGCACACGGCTCCTGTAGCCCTGCTCACAGAGATCTTACTGGTGGATGATGCCAGCACGGATGGTGAGTGTCTTATCCAAATGAGTAGACTGATGTATGTCTGTTCATATTGTATCACTGATCTCTAAAAAAACATTAAACTTTCCATTCATGCACCCACTGTATCAGTGGTGAAGGAAGTCCTTCACTTGAAGTTAAAGTGGCAATACCACACGGTTAAAATACATTTTCAGTATTTAATATTTGCTATTTGTTATAGTAACATTTTATTGTTTTAGTTGGGTAAGATGGAACGAATTAGAATTATTTTGCTGAATATTAGGCAGTTTAATCTGTACCTGTGTGTCATATGAAATAAGATGGAACTTTATCAATCCTGAAGAAAGATAAAAATTACAACAGAAGAATAAGAATAAATCATAGAGTGAAAATATAAACATAGAAGCAATAGAGTTGTAAATATAAAGTCTATAAAAAAGATGATACTATATTACAGAAGTAATATTAAATTACAAAAACACAAGAATAAAACAAGAAATAAAAGGTGTATAACAAGTAACTCTAACATTACTGCCTTATAGAATAACAATAAAATTAAGATACATTTAGTAAAATGAGTATACTAAAATAGAGAAGTAATAATAAGCATGATTTTGGTCGAACATGATATTTTATAAGCTTATCACATGTTTTGTTGGGAAAATTCTAATTTCTAAATTCCTTATGTACTATTACTGTAAATAAAGTACTGTAACTAGTTGTTGTGGAGCAAAAAGTTAAATATTTCCCTCTGAAATATGGCAGATAACATGGACGCACTACAAGTATTTTAACTTAAAGCAGCTTTGATTAATATTTGTACATTAGCAATGGATCACACAATCACTTAAAATGAGTCACTTATAGCGATGAGCCCCTGAGAATTATCACCTGCAGTTTCTCTCAACTCTGTGGAGCCTAAAAGCATCTTTCAGCTCTTTGTTTCGGTTTTACTGTTTCGTCATCACCAGTCGCAGCAGGCAGCTGTTTCCAGCTAAAAAGCGCTAAAACCTCCTGTATACTACCTGCCTTACCTAAAATGTCTTCTTCCCCTAATTTACTTGCCGACTCCTCTCTCTTTAGATCACTTGAAGACTCGTCTGGATGACTATGTGTGGCAGCTGAACATAGTGCGTGTTTTACGTCAGAGGGAGAGGAAAGGCTTGATCACAGCCAGACTGATGGGAGGGCAGGCTGCACAAGGAGAGGTCCTCACCTTCCTGGATTCCCACTGTATGTGCTCCACATTTAGGGATGGGTGTCATCTAAAATAAATGATGGTACCAGTGCCAACACCAGTACCTTTTAAGCGATAGCAATACCAATAGTGTAGTAAAGTACCTTTTTTCTACTATATTTGACACACATATGTGAATGGAATTCATTCAGCTTTGTGTAAAATGCCACCACCACCACCACCACGCTATTTTCATCAGACGGTACACATGTGTACTATAGCCATACTTGGGAACGTTTTGCTGGCATCTCGGCTCGCTGAACTGGCGTCAAGTACCCGTCAACTTTACCACACCACAGACTGTATGAATGGTACCTTTCTATACAATAGAGGGTCAATCACACGTTGCATTTAATCAAAGAATGCTTGTGGTGATTGGCTTCATGCAAAACAATACACATTTCTTTCTAGATCTGGGTACAAAAATGATCAGATGTTATCCTTTGCCTGGAATTTAGAAACTGCATAATATTGGGTTATTTCGGTCGATTCCTTGAAGGTATCAAACACAGATACACAGCCCTACCCATAATGCAAATCTTGCCATCATTTGTGTGTAGGATTCAGTCGGTTGTTTTGAACTGTCGATCAAAAATGATGATGGTAGTTCCTGAAATGAGTATCTGGTGTTGTGTTTCTCTGAGTCACACAGGAGTAAATGGTGGAAAGAGAACAAGTGAAACTATAGAGAGGGGGGGCAACAGCCATCACATTCGACCAATAACTTCCTAGCTACGCCTCTGATTGTGAAAAATATTTTTACTGACAGACAAATGTGGCTCCTATCTTCTACATTCCCATGTAGGTGAATGCTTCCCCGGATGGCTGGAGCCTCTTCTAGCTCGGATAGTAGACCAGCCTGCTGCAGTGGTGAGCCCGGATATCACCACTATTAACCCGTATGACCTAAAGTTCGCAAAGCCAATCCCTGGACCACAATATTACAGTCGAGGGAATTTTGACTGGAGGCTCCATTTTGGATGGGAGTTTGTCCCCGAAGAGGAGACGAAGGGAAGGATGAATGAGACACATCCCATCAGGTGGTTATGAGAATACATACCAGCAGATTTTAAAAAGCATCTCCATCGGCGCCACAATGCTCTTTTTATCCTCTTAATTATAATAGTTATTTTAATGAAATCTGCATCAAATACTAGTAGTGTATTGACAATCATGCAAACTGGACGACTGGAGTAATCACAATCATGATTATGCAGATGCAGTTCAGTCATGTTCATACATTCAGACATTTTGGGAAATATGCACATCTGCTTTCTTCCTAGGAGTTAGACGAGAAGGCTGAAGCCTTTTTGAAGCCTGAACTTAAGTTACAATTAACTTAAGTTGACTGTCCAGTTACTGTATTATTATCTTTTGTGCAGTTGGAAAACATTGGTCGGAAGTTCTGCCTGCATGCGAAGAAGACAAAAAAAAATTGGGGGCTTGTTCGAGATTTCCAATGTCGTGTAGCAGAGGTACGCTAAGTTATTTTTAGTATTTTGAGTACACATCCCAGAAAGAGGCACGGCTCAGCGTCAGCAATGCGCTGTGTTTACATGCAACCCCTGGAGGAGCTCGTGTGTCTCTTAAATTCTGTCAATTGAAGGGAAAAGTAACCACAGCAGCGCCCCAGCAAGTGTGGATCTACACGCAGGTACGATGTACTTCTCTACATTAACTCAAACTCTGCAGCAACTCATGTTACAACACTGCATGTCTCAAGCTGCGCAGGGAAATTTCCTCCATTTCCTCATTCTGTCTCTCTACCTCTAAATTTGTTTGACAGTTTCTTAATCTGAACGCGATCCTCTTAGAGTTTGAGTCTGAGAAATTAGTGTTTGGTAGATTATTTCTCTGTTGTAACAATACTTCTTGGCAATACATTGTATACCGTTGGAAAGCCTGTTTAGTTACCTTTTAAATGGTGCCCCATTTGTAAGGATCATGCATTTCTGGGATGAGCAGCACAGCTGAGTATGTGGGTTGCGCCCATGAAAAACTTGCCAAATCTTCTCTGCCTGAACATGTGGAGGAATGTTATGTTCAGCGATGAGTCGAGATTCTGCCTAAGGAAGTTGGATCGTAGGGTCAAAGTGTGGAGAAGACGGGGAGAATGCTATGCTGATTGCTGCACCGATAGAGTAACACCTTTTGGTGGAGGCAGTGTGATGGTGTGTGGCGGCATTGGAGGCAATCTCAATGCAGAGAGATATCGAGATGAGATAATCTCCAAACACTAATTTCCAAACTTTTTGTTCGATGTATATATTAAAACAGTTGTTCGTCCCTGTAATTGTTCATACTGGCTGTGACGGAATCCTTAATAGTGCAGCTCAAATGTGAAAGATGGGGAATGAATACACAGTCTTTGTGCCTGTTAAAGTTCAGCCAAAGCTAACAGGAGCCTTCAGCAGTCAACTAATCAAATCAAGAGATATCTTACATAGTTACGGTCTTTTGTAATATTCCTCTGCCACAACTCAGACAGAAAACTCTCAACACAAAGAGGGAATCTTGTGACTTTTTGGAACACACCCTCAGGATTTGGTTAACTCAGACGGATGAAGCCTCATATTAGCTTCTCCTGAACGTTAGAAGGCATGTTTTGGAGTCACTTCCCGGCTATAACAACAGGGGGAATCGTTACACTGACCACCAACTCTTTCATTCAATGAGCATTTTGGGCACGTGAGTGTTAAATCAAAGGACGAGTGATATTTTATATTTTTCTTAAGGTCAACAAATTCCATTAAAAGACCAAAAACAACAATGATCCTACAACTACTACCTATTACTTCTGTAGCCAAAGCTTGATCATATTCCTATTTAAAACACATCAATGAGCCACATTGTTGCACCACAAGTTTGTGTCGCAGGAGATTTTATAATACTGTATATCTGCAGTTCACCTTTAAGCCACATGAGAAAGCCTGAATGTCTGTATTATTCTGATAATTTTAAACTATAACGTTGAGTCTAATATGAAAGGGTAACATGGATTCTAATTGTTTTACTGATAAGAGGGGAAAAAAACCCTGTGAACTCTCCCTAAATGCATGTATTTGGGTTAATTTATACATTTAACATGTGTATGTTTTCAATAACACATGCATCAAACAAAAATGTGATTTATCAAATATCTCTCTTCAACATGGTTGGTTTAACTATTCAAGATAATATAAGGTGATGGCGGTAAAATGGTCAGGAGACATTAATTTAAGCACAAAGTCGCTCTTCTCACGACAGATGAGGCCTATTGTGAATTTGTTCACAATGGTTTGTCAGTTTTAAAAGTGTATCATTAGATTCAATGTTAAGTAGATTACAATTATTAGAACAATACGAACATCCAAGCTCCTTCATGTGGCTCAAAGGTGTACTGTATGTTGATGAAATTTATTTGGCGGCCTATAATAAAATCTCCTACGACCCACGATCCCGAACCAGTCTTTGGGAATGAATGACATGGGGGGGGGGGGGGGGAAATGAAACTATGCTCACAATTCTGAAAACTTGAAGTTCATTTATCAAAGATTCCAGACTGCTCAACCATAAGAACAACTCTTTCTCTCAGTTAGAAATTCTAAATGAACCAGGACTGAAATACTCCAAACACTTCATATAGTAAAACACTGACAGTGACTAATGAGTAGCCTATACTTTTACCTTTGATACTTGAAGTAATGTTGTGATGCAGGACTTTTATCTGCAGTAGAACATTTTCCCAGTGCGTTAATAGGCCACTTTTACTTAAGTAAAGGATCTGAATACTTATTCCACCACTGGATATACATTTGGATATTGTGTGTAGCTTTGTATTGTGTGTTCTTTTTTGTATATCTTTGTATTATGTCTTTACCTCGTACCTTTTGTCATTCTGCTTTCTTTGTTTTGACCTGCCAAGGGACTACAGATGCAAATTATCTTAAAGCTATAATCTGGTACGAAATTTGAAAAATTTGAAAAAAAGCTTAATAGTTCAAAAAGTTGAAAGATTAGACATATTAAGAGACATAGCACACGTGTCCTCAACGAGCTGAACATTTTGATATTTGAACGGTTTCTGTAGCTTAAAAATGTGGAGGGAGATAAGTAGCAAAATAGGTACGGAAGAAGTTGAATAAAGAGAAACAGGATAACTTAACAGCATTCCAACAATAAACGGAGAGATTGTGCTCAAAGATTAAACAAAACAATTGCTCCTTTTTCCTCTTGCTCCTTTCAATTCCCACCTGTCTGGTTTTTCATTATTGGCAGTGTGGTGTGTGTGCGCGTGTGTGTTTGAGCGTGAGAGCGGGATGAGGGGGGCTCGTAATGTTAAACCACGCCCATCGGCAGAGTCGATTACGTCACTCGATTGGACGCGCGATGGGAACTCGAGCGAGCGCTGGTGAGTTTCTCCCCAAACCAATAAAAAAAAACCTCTCCGTTTCCTCTTTGTCGCTTAAACAGGGAAGTAGGCAGGACTCTGTGAGTGAGAGTGTGTACCGTGAAGCCTCTGGTACGACGCCGTCAGTCCACGGTTTGACGCTAAACTGCCAACAGACCCGTGAGTAGCAGTAGATTCACTTCTATTGAGCTAACTTATAACCGTTAGTCACTGTCGCGTGTGTATAAGCTAACGTTCGTTTTAAGCTAGGTGGATGTTTTGCTAGCTGCGGAAGCGGAAGTTTTTGAATTGTATCGCTTGTCAAGTCCGTCATGTTTAAAACATGAGTATGTGAATCTAAAGGGATGATGACAGAGCGGTTTTTAGTTTTAGTTAGCCCAGCATGCAGTCATTGCTAACGTAAATGTGGTTAAATAGCAGCATATTGTGAGGTGTTTCAGGCTGGATGTTGGTAGCGAACATGATGAGCAGCAACATGTCAGCCCTCGTTATCTTGATGTGTTACCCGAACGTATCTAGTGTAGCGTTTAGCCCTCTAAATACAGGATTATGTGGAGGATTTGACTAATATCATTATAGTGTGTTGTGTATCGGGCTAAATCTGGGAGCTAGTGGTAGTAGTCTAACAGGAAATACACGTGGTGTCCTTCTGAGTGTTGTTTATGTTAATAATAGGGATGATATTCATCTGTAACCTCACATGACTGTTGATTGTCGATTGTCTATTTTAACGCAGGTTTAGTTAAAGGAACACTTCACCCACTAAATTACCATTTGTGTTGGTGTTGAAATCAGTGAAAAAGTACTTCCTGATTTGGCTCATTGTTGCCATGATTCACAAGGAAATCCAAGTTTATTATCTCTCAAAAGTCTTGCTCCTTATCTTTTCATTGTTGGATAATGGAGGAAGTAATGGACCAATGCCAGTGTTTGTTTTCCTCTTGGCCCATTAGTAAAAGTCACATATAGTCTACTTTATGTCACAGCTGACCATTTTCAAACAATAGTGCTGTGTTTTATGGTTTTAGTCTCGTCTTTATTTGTCATATGCACAACAATACATGTTACAGGGCTAGTCGATGAAAATGACAACAATGCAACAACAAAATGTAAAAAAATAAAGAAGATTGAAGATATAAAGTAGTGCAGAGGTCCTAAATATAATATAGTATATAGAGAAAATAATACTGTGGTTTCAGGTATCCATTGGTTTCTGCCGGTGACGATTATTTTCATTATTGATTAATCCAACTATTATTTTTTTCTATAAATGTTTATTTTTGAATATTTTTCTAAATATTTTTCAAAATCCAGAGCTATTCTGTTTACAATCACAGAAGATAAAGGAAACCAGCAAATACCCCAAAATTACTTGAAACAATACATATCAGTCAATTCATTGACTAACCGTTGCAGCTCAAGGTAAATCAATCAATATTTTTTTCTATTAAATTAATCAACTGAAAGAACAGGAGCAGTGTATTTTTAAATTCTGATAAAGTGACGTCAGCAAATTGTTGACGATTAGTTTTCTGTCTTTCATCTTGGATAATCACGTAATCATTTAAGTACCATTCAGTTAATATTAATTTTGTATGAAAATCTTGTCGCTGACACGGTGACCAATGGCAGTGCAGACTTTTCAAATCAGACTCTGCACTGCTTCACCTAAACTGCAACGATTATACAAAGATATTACGGTTCTACCAGACAGGAGCAAAAGTCCATTATATCGCATATGACTCAACAAACTTTCTTCCATTTTTATTTTTATCAAATCATCGGCAGCACTGATGCATTCCTTTTCGGGAGACCACTGTCTCCCCGATGTATTTGTCTCCCCGATGTTGGTTTAACATGTAAAATAACTTTGGACAATCTTTATTTACTGGGTGTTGTTTTTTTGTCTCCTTTTTTAGAGAAAATGAGCAACCTTCCCTTCTCTCGGTCGGAGGTGTTTGGGGAGCTGAGGAAGGAGCTCCATGAAGATAAAGAGTTCGATCAGTCCGCTCACATCTTCATCATCATGGGAGCATCGGTGAGAGCAGAGCAGGGGAGGGGACTCAAAATCTAGTCAGTGAATTATATAAATATGGTGCAACACTTGAGAAATACAATGACATGAATAGTCTTAATCACACAAAATATACTGCGTGATTTAAAATAAATAAATTCATCTTTTAGGACCAACCAGCAGCATGTAACTGTTCTCTGTTACCTTTTATTATTTTTGGCACATTTACTGTTCAGGCCTCTTAGGCAGTCCTTGTTGGCCATGATTATGGATGAGTGTACTGCAATAATTGCACATGTGTGCGATTAAGGAACTGTTGAAACTGATTTCACCAATCTTATGCAAACAAGCACCACACAGTCGTCCAAGCTTTCACAAGCCCGACACGGAGGCAGAAAAAAACCTCAAGGTTCCTCTTTTCAATAGTGTGTAAACACTATTGAAAAGAGGAACCTTTTAAACATGGCATCTTAAAAACCCTTTTTGTGCTCATTTAAATCAAACGCACCCCTCAAATGCATCTGTTTATTGTATTTACACAGATAAGATAACTTACAATATAAAATAGTTGTATAACAACTTTCATTAGATTAAATAAAGTGTACATTCAACAACTAAAAAATTTGTATTGTGTTATTTTGCAAAGAATAAGTCGACCAACTTTGTGACTTTCAATGTCACAGACATAATTAATTTCCTTTACTGCTAAAATAAATGGAATAAAAAGTTGATCAATCTCAATGTGATCAGAAATGTCCTTTTCACTCTCACTATTTCCTCATACTGGTCAGGTGTCGAGTTCATGAACTAAAATCATTTCAGGTATTTTTAGAACTGTTTCTTTGTTTCTCTCTTTGCATTCTTCTTCTCTACCCGACGATCTAAATGTGTCTACTACTCATTCATTAGTTTCTCCCATTTAAAGCTTCTTTATATGGGATTCAAAGCACATCTAGTGCCTCCACACAGCACTCAACATGGAGAGGGCTGAGCAGTTTTGTTCTGTTGGGGAAAAAAAAAAAGCATTTGTAAATCAAGCGAAATTACAAAAGTCTCAAAAAAAGCAATCACTTTAAATACATATATATGTGGATTTCTATTACATCTGATTACAAAAAAGGAAATATTTGTGAGAGCATCAACAATATATTTGTAGATCTTATTTTTATATGTGGATTTTTTTTTTACACACTTGTATATAATCATAACTATTGTTTTTGTATATTTAAAAAAAAATATTTTTTTGTAAATCGTTCTGTCTAGTCTCAATATTAATAAAGGCAATCAGATCACATGCATGTCTGCTGCTTTAACACCACACATGCACGACAAATAATACTTAACAACAACAACCCCCAGCTACATATCTGCTGTAGATGCATTGCAATGCTTTATTAACGCATCGTGCTAAAACCACAGCTAAACGATTATTCTAACAATGCACAGTGTTGACTTGTGGTTGTGATGCTTCTCTATTCTGTGAAACTCCTCGTAGCCATTACTCCACTGTGTGTGTGTGTGTGTGTGTGTATGTATGTATATTTTTAATTTTTTTTAAATTTTATTTATTTATTTTCAAATAGTTGTTAATGCTTCTCAATACTCAAACCAGAACATCTAGTCAGCCTGCATATTAGATTTGCTCAGTCCTTCCTTCTCTTGCACTGTTTGCTCAGTTGGGGAATGAGTTCTTTCTTTTTTGCAGTGTCACTGACAGTCAGCTGTTTTCTTTCACTGGCACAGGAAGTGCTGGGCTGTGTGTGTAATCTCACTCTGGCCCCACTTGGTTCATAGATGCGTGTGTGTGTTTCTGCAGCTGTTTTTAAATGGCTGCACTGCGAGATACTTGCATGTTTATCAAGTGTTAACTTACAGTCACGCCACACTATCAAACATTTACTTACTGATCCTAATTCAACGGTTATAGCGGTGCAGCTTCATGACATGAAAGGTTTAACAGGTTTGTCCTTGGCTTGTGTTGTGTTATGACTTTGTACATACCAGACCACATCAATGACCAACTTCCTAACTTAAGTGTGACATTAAAGACGCATTTCTGTTCAGTTCTTCTTGTCAGAAATTATTTTAAACACGCAGTCTTAAACAAAGAAGCAGGGTAACACGTGGCGTTGAATTTCCAGTTGAGGAAGAGATGAATAAAGTGAGATGTCAGATTGTGATTTAAGCCAACAATCTACTGTTAAAGGAACTACTTTTTGGTTAAGTTGACTTCTAATGTCCTGTCCTGTCTTCTCCTTGTATTGATTTGAGGTATGCTTCGGTTCATCTCAGATTTCCTACTTCCTCCTGTCTTACACATCTTATAGTTAAACTACTTAGCAACAGGTTCTTCAACATGATTTAATTTGGCACCAGGGACCGTCTTTTGTCTCCACACAGTCTGTTGGTGGTTGGCATTTACTCTCAGTGGGATTACTAAAGTGGCGCAATCCCTAAAATAAGACAAAGCTGCCTACTTACCTGTTGCCAGACCGTGTGACCTCTAGTGCGGCAGCAACTTGTTTCATGGAAAACAAATCACCACTCTGACAAAGTGCATTGGTTAAATAGGGTGCACAGTAAAACCAAACACAGCATCCACACCTAATGATTGTGTGTTGTGACCTAGATTTATTTGATGAAATCATATTTGTGATTGTGTGTTTGCACCTGTAGGGGGATCTGGCTAAGAAGAAGATCTACCCAACTCTATGGTGAGTGAACCTCTGACCCCTGTGAAAAGGATGAGCCATCAATAGCAAAGCCGAGTCTGAGGAAGGAGACTCTTCTAATCTGGACGGCAGCTTCTATAGTTTGATCCATATGTTGATCTGCTCTCTCCCAGGTGGTTGTTCAGAGACGGCCTCCTCCCCGAGCAGACCTATTTCGTGGGCTTTGCTCGCTCTGACCTGACAGTTGATGCCATTCGGACTTCTTGCTTGCCATACCTGAAGGTAAAACTGCACTTTTGAGATAGATCTCAAGGAGGATAGAGGAATTTAGAGCAGACAGTAGCAAAAATAATACACAACTATGTAAATAAAAACCTTTCAAAGCAAGAAAATAATGTCCTTAGGTCCATCTGCCATTCCTCCCTCCATTGGCCTAATCCTTAAAGCGACGATGGACCGACAGAGATTTATCACCGTAATCTGCAGCTCCACTCAGCTTTACAGAGCTTTATAGTGAGTTTAAGCTTATGGTTTAGCTCTACGGTCTGCAACTTTACTGTTTTGGTTCACTCTCTCCGCTCTCATGGCGTCGTTTTCGGCCACAGCAGAAAAAAAGGTTTAGAAACCTAGTAACAAGTTTGTCGCTTGAACTTAAAAGGTGATGATATGTCAGTGTTGTGTTAACAGCTCTGTTCTGCTGCCCCCAAGTGGCCAAACGAAGTCGGCCTTTTTAGACCACCAGTCTTTTTTAAAAACATCCTTATTTAATCCGTGGGTGTGTAAACGTTCCCACCCTCTGACCCAGGCGACGGATAAAGATGCAGAGCGGTTGTCGGCCTTCTTCGGGAGGAACACGTACATCAGTGGGAAATATGCTGATGAGAGTTCCTTCTCCAAACTCGACACGCACATCACGTCTCTTCCCGGAGGACCCGAGGCAAACCGGCTCTTCTACCTGGCGCTGCCGCCCACCGTCTACCACGATGTCAGCAAGAACATCAAGCACCGCTGTATGAGCACCAAGTCAGTACACTACTTCTGCTTTGTTACACTGCAAAGTGATGCCGTTAAATCAACACCTCTCTAAAAACAGAACATTACAAGTAAAAATGACTTTTGCGAGGTGTACCTTTTTATAACCTGGCAATTTAGTGTATGTAGTAGTAGTTTAACTTAATTTGTCTTCATCTCTTACTTTTATAAGTCGGTCTGATGGAGGAAACAAGTGATCCTCTACAACTTCTGTCATGTTCTTTTGTGATCTTTGCCTCATTTTCTTTTAATTCAGATTTAAGCAGAAACCCAATTTTAAACCCAGTTGTGTCCCACTAATATGTCATTGAGGTCAATCAAAGTGGACTTGACGTGTTATTTTCCCTCTGTGTGTGTGTAGAGGGTGGACCAGGGTGATCGTAGAGAAGCCGTTTGGACACGACCTTCAGAGCTCCGAGGAGCTGTCCACTCACCTCTCCTCGCTCTTCACTGAGGACCAAATCTACCGTATAGATCACTATCTGGGCAAGGAAATGGTGCAGAACCTCATGGTGCTCAGGTGAGTCAAGCATCGTCCGATAAGAACGCTTCATTGCGTGCATTTATTTTATTTATTTATTTATTGAATGTGATATCGTGAACATGTGTAGAGGAAGAACGTCTCAACCCGTTGAAGATTGTTTATGCGTGTTGTCACGAACGGCAGTCTTTTCCCAAACATTACGGGTAAAGGTGGTGTTGATATTATTTATATTTACCCGTAGTGTTAATACTTAGTAGTACTTCCCTGTGTTATTTTTAGCCCATAGTATTATAATATATTATAGGATACCTACAGTACGAGATATTGAGTTTTGGGGTCCACTCTCAAGTGGAAGATGAGAGACACCAGCTCTAGATCCTTGAGCGGGTCCAAATTCTTGCTCATACTATGAGCAAGAATTTGGACCCAGTCAAGGATCTAGAGCCAGGGTTAGGAACCACTGTTTGTATACTAACTGTTTGCCAAGTGAGTTCCCAAACTTAAATCACTGACAAGTAATTCACTAGAGACAGAGAGACACAGAGACGGACACAGAGAGACACAGAGACGGACACA